GCCACTGCACTCCAGCCTGGGCGACAGAACAAAACTCTCTAAAAACAAAACAAAACAAAATGACAACAAAAAAGAATCAGCAGAAACCATTAGAAGCAATGCAAGAGTTCAACTAGATTGCCAGCTATAAGAACATAGAAAAATCAATAGCTTTCTACTGTATCGGGAGTAACTAATTATAAACTATGGCAATAATAAGGTACCATTTATAATAGTGACATAAACTAAAAGCTATCTAGAAATAAATCTAAGATAGAATGCATAAAACATATAAGGGAAATTTAAAACTCTATTACAAGAGTTTTATTATGGTATTAAAGAGCATAAATGCAGCATTCATAAATGGCTCCATTGAATATTGTGAAGATGTCACATTCCCTTCACCCCTCTTACAATTTAAATTCAGTCTCATCAACATCTAAGAATTTTTTTTTGAAAGGGGCAGAGTGGAGGCTAAGATTTATATGGGATAATAAATACAGAAAGAGGATCTCTGTTTTTTCTTTAGACATTAGCAATATAGAGCAGGAGTTGGCAAACTCCCCCTATAAACCAAATCTGGGCTGCTGCCTGTTTTTTCAAATAAAGTTTTACTGGGGCACAGCCACACCTACTCATACTGCTTTCATGTTGCCATGACAAAGTAGAGTGATTGCAGCAGACACTGTGTGGCCTGCTGTGTCTGGTCCTTTACAGAAAAGAGGAAAAAAAAAAATGTGCGACCTCTGTTCTACAGCATCTGGCTCTTACGCAGAATAGAAAGGCGTCTAGACTTATTCCTGTGTGTATAGGGGAACTTAAAACTGTAATCATTCCCAGGAATTTGTACTAGGAAAATTGGCTCACAAAAAGAAAAATGAAGCTGTTTCTGTATTTCATACTATAAACAAAGCTCCAAGTGGAATAAATACCTAAATGTTAAGGATGAAAATATAAAGTCAATAGAAGAAAATATAGAAATATATATATTTGCAACCTTATGGTAGAGAGGGATTTGTTCTGAGAGATTTGCAGAGCACAAACTATAAAAAAAAAATGATGCACTTGGAATACATCAAAATGAATGATTTCTGTTCAATGGAGGGAACAACAGAGAAATTAACAGATGGTGAAAATATAATTATTGTGTTTAATAGACCCTGATTAGTATTTAGAATATACAAGGGACTATACAAAATTAGAAAATTGAAGGGAGGAGAGCAATATGAAAGAGGACAAAGTATATGAATTGACAATTTTTTAGGAAGAGAAACATGCATATACACACACATCACTATTAGAGACAAATGAAGTAAAAGGAAGAGACGTCATTTTACCGTTCAATAATTAAAAGCTTGGAAAGCAGGAAGTACTATCAAGTGCTGGTAAGGATGTAGGAAAATAGAAATCCTCATGTATTGCTGCTGGGCATGCAAGCTGGTGCATATATTTTAGAAAATCTAAGTATCTGACCTGAATCCCAACAATGGGATGCTAGGATCGGAATCCAGGGAAACGTGTATTAGAATAGTAGTCACAGTGTAACTTGTGGTAAAAGGTTGTAATCAAGCTAGCTCTATAGCACTAGAGGAGTGGGCAGGAATACTACAGTGGAATGCAGTGAAAGAGTTGTTTATAGCACCATGGATGAGTTTCTAAAACAATGTTGAGAGAATACAGAAGAATGAGACTTAAAAGCTACAAGTTACATACAAATTTAAAAACCATGAATAAAAGAGCCCTATGTATTTTTGACAAAAATTTATGCACACAAACATGTAAAGAGGATTCTGAATAATACATTAATTATGAAAAAGTGAATTTCCGGGGTGGGAAGGGAGGGAATGGGACTGGACATAGAGGACAAAAAGGAAAATGATAAGAAAAGTGAAAAGAAAAAGAAGAGCTTTTCATGAGCTCATGATAATGTAGCTCATCAACTAGAGCCTGTGCTAAGTCAATTCTGTTCCATTATCCTGAAGGAGAAATAAACTTCTGGGACATTACTTCTTTTGGCAATGTTAGATCCAGGTGCTCAGAAAGTATCTTCAGGTATGGGTCTCTGTATCTTCACTGTCTTTGCCTCAGTGTTGGCTCTCATATCAAGCCAGCTCTTTTTTAGGAAAACTCATAGCTGTTTCAGGTTCATAGTCTACCAGTTTGGCAACTCAACTGAAAGAAAGTGGCCTTGTTACTATCAGCAGTATTACTCTGAAGGATGTCTTTGCCTTTGATTGGTTCATTTTGTGTCCTGTTCATTGGTCATTTTGGTCCATTTTGTGTTCCAAACCAATCATATGTCAAAGGACTATGGGTGCCTGGGTCACATGCCCATCACTAGAACCAGGTAGTAGGAATAGTCCCACATGTAGAATATGGTGGGGTGTTACTAAAAGCAAAAAATCAAAGTGGTATGGCTAAGAGTATAAGGAAGTAGATTCTGGGGAGGGAAATAACCACAGGTCACTTGAATCAATGCTGTTTGTAGAATAGTTGATGTGATTTGCCATCTTTATTCTAGAAAAACAAGAAAAAATGAAGAATAGTTAACTCTAAGTATCTGAAGCACTGCCACTTGCATGATACTTGTTTTATATGTTTGCAAGGAATAAAGTCATGAAAAACAGATAGACTTGGTGTAAAGAGCAACTATGTTATTTGTAGAGTTGACTATCTTAGCAGGAACGAGTAATGAACTCCCCATCACTGGACATATTCAAGCATACACTAGCCAGCTGTTTGGCAGGAATTCTGTAGGAAAAGGCCCAAGGATTGGGAGGATAGTTGGGTTTGGTCAGTGGTTCTGAATCACCTGGACAACTATGGAAGCCTTGATTGCTGGGCCCTTGTCCCAAAGTTTCTGGTTCAGTAGGTCTGGGGTGGGGCCTCAAAATTTGCATTTGTAATAAGTTCCCAAGTGAAGTTGATGCTATTGTGGAGGGACCTCCCCTTGAGAACTGTTGGGTTTTTAATGAGCTAGTTGTAAATGTTCTAAAAACCATTATCTGTACCACTGGGGCAAACCTTCCCATCTTATTTCTTTAGTACCTGAAATGTATACAGTTCTGGCTATATGGGTTCTTCCATAGAAAATGACATTTGTACAGTTCTCTGTCTTGTGTGTCATTGAGAATATTAGAATCATTAAACAATCATGCATTATTCACGTGCTTTATAAAATAGTCTAAGGAAAAAAAAATACATTCAACATGATTTTCCTCTGCTTTCACACCAACGACAACAATCAACAAAGACTACTACCGTGACCAAATGTGTGGGGTCCCCTCCCCGCAAAACGCACCAAGCAGCGGACACCAGCTGGATGTCCTTTGATTCAGTTCAGAAGAATTTGGATGTTATGTACCTGGAGATAGCCTCAGATTCCACAGGTTGAGGGCTCAGTGCCGTGAGACTGGCCCCTGACTTTCAGATACAAGTTGAAAGTCTGGGCCTCTGGAACTTCCAACTGACTGACTGTAAATCAGGGACCCCATGGTTCCTTCTTTGAGTTCAATCAGTTTGCTTGAGCAGCTCAAAGAATTCAGGGAAATACTTAGGTTTACCAGTTTATTACAGCAAATATTACAAAGGATAATGATGAAAAGATGCATAAGGTGAGGTATGGAGGAAAGAGCACGGAGCTTCCATGCTCTCCCAGGGCTCTCCCAGGGCGAGCCATGCTCCAGGAACCTTTGTGTTCAGCTATCCAGAAGCTCCCTAAACCTGTTCTTCTGGGTTTTTACAGAGGCTTCATTATGTAAACATGACCGACTAAACTGTTGACCATTGGTGATCAACTTCACCTTCAGCCCCTCTCTCCTCCTGGGAGATTGGGGAGTGGGGCCGAAAGTTCCAGTCCTGTAATCCTGCATTGTTCCTTCTTGTGACCAGTCCCATCCTGAAGCTACCTAGACTCTTAGGGGCTGCTAGCTACCAGTTAATCATTAGCATACAAAAAGACATCACTTTGGAGTTTCTAAGGATTTTAGGAGTTGCATGCCAGGAAATGGGGTTGAAAACCAAATACATATTTTACAGTAAAATAAATAGTCAACTATTTTCTAATTTCATCCTTTTTATAATCCTTTCTCTGTTTTTCCATAGAGTGATCCATGTTCATCAATTTTGTACTAGGCTGTTCCTGAGTTAGAAAAATGAAATCGTTTTCTAGGGATGGTGTTTTTTAGTCATTTACAAAGTGCGTCTTAGTCATTCACAAAGTAACTTTATTGTGTGTTGGCATCCACCTGATTTAAAAGTCATTCCTTGGTGCTAGATGGATTTGGCTTGTCTCAGCTATGCCATGTGCCAGATTCCCTTCAGCTTCCCTTTCCTGTCCCCGGCCCCCCATGGCGTTCCCTCAAAAGGAGGACGCAGAACATTTCAGGTACCTTGCTGCTTTGTGGCCCTGTTACAACCAGGAATTGTTCTAGTTTTGAACTCCGTTTTGCTCCTTCCTTCCTTTTTAAAAAAAATTTTTTTTCTCCTTAATTTTGGAGATTTTGCTAGAATAGTTCTCTGGGGGTGCTCATGTTTTTGTAATTGTAGGCAAGGTCAGACAGTGTTTGCACTTGCTGTAAATTGCTATTATATGAACACAAAACCATTTGAGAGAAGCATTTAAGAATTACAAGGTTTATAGTTAATACTTAATGAAAATTTTCAGCTTAGCAGAGATGACAAAATAGATGGGTAAAAATAAGTACCTGACAAATAGGGCCTTGTGGGTTTGAGTTAAGGTGGCACCGTGAGGTGCAGGGGGAGGAAAGGGGAAAGGCTGTTTTGTTGTCCAAGTGCAAACTTCTGCTTGAAAATTGCTAACTCTAATCAAGGAAACACTGGTAGGGAGAGTGGAGTATTTTAGAAAGACTTGCCCGGAATGCATCTTGGTGAACATTCAATGAGGAGCAATTTCAATGGCATCCTCTCTGCAACTAAGAATCTGTAGTAATGGAATTTGCTTTCTTTAAGGTGGTATATGAGCTGAGTTTCTTATTTGAATTCTATCCATTGTCTTTTAGACTTCAGCTGTGAGGACATGTCGTTCAGATTTGGCCAACATCTCATCAAGCCCTCTGTGGTGTTTCTCAAAACAGAACTGTCCTTCGCTCTTGTGAATAGGAAACCTGTGGTACCAGGACGTATCCTTTTTTATCTGGAGAGGAAAAATAAAAGTCTTCTGAGCCTAACCAGCCAAATGAATATAAATGTAAGATTGGCCTCCAGTCTGTCCAAAAAGGTAAAGAAAGAATCCATCTCCCTCCCATTTTGGAGACACCAGGTAAGATGTTACACACATTTATTCTGAATCCAGTTGGTGGCACCAGTAATATGCTTGATCAATGTTGCAGAACTTCTGAAGAGAGTTGCTTAGCAACCGTGGCTTTGGAGGTGAATTTTTGCTTGACCTTTTCACTATCATAGCTGAGTAAATAAATAGGTGCTTCTGAAATGAGCCCAGTGAATATCACGGGCACTTGGTTTTCAACTTATCTGTTGTGAATTTTAATAGTAGCTTGGGTGGTGCCTTTGTGATGTGGAAGCAAGATATGTGCGGATTTGAGACTGACTTCGTTGCTTTACCTCTTGGAGATCATTCAAGTTGTGCATTTTATTTAAATTTATATATATAAATATACTTACAATTTTTTTTTAAAAAATTAGGACCTGAAATAACATTTTCTCTTGGGAAAACTACCAGCTTGTAGATCATCGGCCAGTGTCATTGGTGGGTAGAGTTGTTTTATTTCCCTCTGACCACTGAGTTGCGGTCTTTCCTCCTACAGACTTCAGCAGGAGCTTTATTCTTTTGCGGTGGGAATAACAAGTATTGGTGAAATGCCTGGGGAGTTGTTTTTATGTTGTTGAAAGTATCACCCCTGATTGTGTGCATATGAATTTTGTACTGACTCTTCAGGATGTTTTTCTCTTTCCTCCTTAACTTAGTTTACCAAGCAGAAGGCAACAGAATAAAATTTAATATTTTCAGATAATAAGTATTTTCCACACTGAGACATGATTTTGCTTTGAAATGAATTTCTTAGTAAATCTGAATGTACAAATATGCCAAGAGGTTTTTCAGAGTAAGCTACATTTTTTTTTTCAGTGAAAATGTGGAAAGTGCTTGAGAACTTCATGAATAATCTTCCTTTCTAGCCATGTAACTATTGTATGCTGAAAAAAAAAAAAAAAACAAATAAGAAAAACGTGTACCAAAAGATAATTGTGATTGTATTATAGACTCCCAAATTTCTGGAATCCAAATTCTAGTCAAATAAATCGTATTAATTTAGAAAACCAATAAGCAATAATCTAGTAAATATGTAAGTTTTTCTTAATATTTAAAACTCTTCTTTTAAATGTATAAAATGAGTCTAAATAATATTAGAAAACTATTTTCTTCTGTTTATTGAAAAAAGTACTGGAATGATTTAGAAAGGCCCTAAAAAACAGAACAGGTTTTTAAGTTTAATGCCAATTGTGTATTGAATTCTTTTAAAAGACCTGAATTTCTTGAAGTAACATTTTATTTTGCTGTAAGTTTGTGGTGGGCTTTTTCCTTTGGGGTTTTTAAAAGCAAAATGTCTGTAAATTAAGGTGTTGAAAGAATATGATTTAAATGCCATCTCTCTCTCTACGTGCCAGCTTTAATTGACTTTTAGAAAAGAAATAAAGGGACCTGGGATGAAAATGTGAATTTAGACAAGATTTGTTTGTCTAAATTCACTCTCATTCCTATGAAAATGAGAGGTCACAGATGCACTACCTTTTTTTTTTTTTTTTCCTCCTTTTGAGGCAGAGTCTCACTCTGTAGCCCAGGCTAGGTTACAGTGGCGCGATCTTGGCTCAGTACAATCTCTGCCTCCTGGGTTCAAGCGATTCTTGTGCCACAGCCTCCCAAGTAGCTGGTACCACGGGCAGGCGCTACCACCCTGAGTTAATTTTTGTATTTTTAGTAGAGATGGGGTTTCGCCATGTTGGCCACTTTTTAAAATGATTAATAATGGAATGAACTCCTGTTTGTAGTTTTTTTACTCATATCTTAAGAGTGACTTGATTTTTCAGACTTTTTAACAAACTCAGAAAATGTGATGTATAAAACCAGGGCATATGTGAGTCTGAACTCAAGAAAAGTAGAAATGTCTATGTTTAGGAAAATATCTGTAGTGTGAATAGTGCGCAAGTAGTGAATACTAACTAGTTTCTTTCTGGATGGCGCTGGTGTTGCCGTTTGGGAAATGAACCCTGTTCAGTTGCTATATATTTGAGTAAATACTTGGAGAATATTTTATTAAAATTAACACACTTCAGTTTGTTTGGAAGGTAGCAAGAAGGATCCAACCTTTTCTGATTATAAGAACAATGGGAACTGGAGCATTTTTAAAATCAGTATACTCTGTAAGGCTAATTAACATCTGCACTATTTAAAACAGTCTCAGGCCAGTAGACAATGTATTCAGACAATCCTTCTTATGTGATGATTTTGTAACTTTTTATTTTACTTTACCTTTATAAACTCTGCCATGTTACAACTGGGAGACACATCTTAGTAAGGTACTCATTTGCTTGCGGAAAGCTCTAGACTTTTGTCCTGAGATTTGAGAATGGAAGATGTGGATAGCTCTGTCCACTAACATTTCATAAATAAACGGTGAGATGTCTGGAGTGGGCTTTTATCTTCCTCCAGTGATCTATCCTGCCTGCCCTAGTCTAGCCCTTAGGTGTGGTTCATGTAGATTTATGATGTCTCCCTGCCTCTGGGCTTTTCCAATCCAGCCTATAACTTTATTTGAACCACAGCCCTGACCATATCATTCTTCTCTTCCCTTGTGAGTAAACCAATAATGAATGTCTGTTTTTTGAGGATAAAGTCCAAATTCCTTAGAATAGTTTTTAAGGACCTTCATTGTACTGGCTCAGTCTCCCCTCTTTCCAGCTGTTTCCTGAATATGTGTTGTACTATCCCTTTACCATACTTTCTCCTGCCTCTCGCCTCAACTGGAGATTCTCCCCATCCTTTTCATTTCAACTGAAGTGCTTTGATAACTGTCCCACCCTCCTAGGGAGAAGAACAAAAACAAAACCAAAAAATCCTTTCCTCTTTGTTTGTGACACTCACTTCCTTATTCACATGTTGATTCATTCAACACTTTATTACTGAGCTCATACTCCGTTCCAGGTACCATGACCAAACACATAGTCCAGTCTGCCTCGTATCTGAAGTATGTGCATCCCTATTTCTGCACCGAGTCTTTCCTTCCTATGGACGGGACCTGCTCTTGCACGTCTCTTTTTTCTTAGCATCCAAATGTATTATGTTCACTGAATCTAAAGTGAGACTGGAAACATCAGGAGCATATGCATTGTTCCAGTTAACGGAATAGGGAGACAGGGTGTGCTGAAATCCCACCTCTTCCCTATTCCCATGCACGAGGCCAAGTCTTGTCACCACTTTTTTCCAGATGTTTCAGTATCATGTCCAAGCTAGATTTTCCCAGCTTCCCCCTCATCCTTTGTCCATTACAATTCTGTTTACAAGTGTGTGAGTGTAGGGAGTTAAATCTAAAAGCAGTGAATGAATTGATGGCAGATGGGAAAAGATTCTTTGCCATTTCTTTACATGTTAATTTGTGAATGGACCAATCTGTGTTTTAAGGGCAGTATATTGGCATCTTTATGTAAAATGGAACATTTTGTTTTGTATGTTTGATGAATTCTTCTTAAAAATGGCATTCAGGTGCCCTTTGGGGAGTGTGCCATTCATGAGAGACTTGTAAATGTCATCTTTGAACTTGTGGCTTTTATAACATTTTGCTGCCCCCGACTAACACTTATTTCTTATGACTTTGCTCACTGACTTTTTCATAGCTTTCAGAGAAAGAAAAAGAACTGTCAAATCAGGGGCCAAAGATATGCTTTTGAAGCAGGATGGTTTGCTTCATTCTCAGAACAGCCACTTCAGTCCCTCCTTGTTCCCACCTGAAGCAAACACTTCTGTTCCTTGCCAGCACTGTTTAAAGCCTATTGAATAGGCTTTGGCTTCTGTGGCGCAACACTTAGAATAATATGTCAGAATGTCTTTAATCCATTAATTTCTTGTTACTGGAAAATGCTTTTCAGAGTTTCTTGGTGATAGAATCATTTTGAAGAGTACACATTCAGAATTCTGCAGCAAACATTTTATTCATGTGTCTCAGTGCAGCCCAGCTATTGTTCATGGCTTAAATAAATTTGAACCATTATGGCTAATACTTCTCCTTACCCCTCCTCCCTTTGCTTTGTGCTGTGTCTATCTCTCTTCTTGAGTTGAGCATGAAAATGAATTTAAACATCAGTGGTATCCATTTGAAGACTGGGGCTTTTGTTGTAAATAAAATTATTCATTTGTTATGTTCTGTTGTTTTCAGCAGAGTGTATTGATCTCTGCATTGCTATTCTGAATGGCGTAAGGAGCTGCAACATAAGGGAGACACAGCAACATTTGTGGATGAATTGAATAGGGTGTGTGATGACAGACACCTTGCTCACTGATCATACTGTATTCTACAAATCATTCATCAAGAGTTTATTGAATCAGTTATTAAAAAGAGCAGATTTTTCCAACCAAGACCATCACACGCAGAATGTTACCAGGGCCAAACAACATTAGGATGATGCATGGAGGGACAGCCTTACAAAGTATATTTGTGAGAGAATTAGACTAGGTAACTTAAAGAACGTTTCTGCTGACACATTAGAAATAAAAAGTTTGCTACAATGCAAACTGTGCTCCAAGATCCAACTTCAAAAGGTAAAAAAGAAAACTCTGACAACTGTCTTTTAATACAGAATATTATTAATGTTACCAGGGCCAAACAACATTAGGATGTTAATTTTCCCCAAAGAGCAATGTTAAGTTTCCCCGGTTTTCAGACTGTTACCATGTTGAGTGCTCCTGAAATAAGTGGAAAAATAATAAAAATAGCTTCATTACTTAACAGTGATTCTTACCAAATAGATGCTATAGATAAAAGCGCCCTTTTAGTCGTTCCATAAAAATCAGAAATATTTGTCATTTCCTCAGTGGGTTGTAATCTTGTGAATTCCTTTAATTGTTCAGGAAGCTGCAGTTATTAGTGATCTTCCATTTCTCTAAAGAGTT